TTCACTGAAATAACAAGTTAGCAAGTGAGTAGAAGAATTAATAGAACTGCGTTGTTGGGGCTGGAAAGGACCCAAGTGGAGGCTCATTCCAGGGTAACGGCTCGATCTGATGCAAGGGGAGGCTCTGTGGCGTCTGTCTCCAGGGTCGCCAGGTGGTGCGGGGACCATGTCAGGGCCAGGTCTCTGCTCCTGCCGGGCGGTTCTGACACCCTGCCTGCTGCCTCTCCATTCAACTCACGTTTATTGAGTGTCTCCCTGTGCCAGGCCCCAATCCAAGCTCCGTCTGAGGCAAACGGAACAAGAACCCTGGAGCTCTGCCCTGTCTCTCTCTGCAGATAACCCTGGCTTGGGCCTGGCAGGGTCCTTCCTCCTGGCCTACAAGACCTTCCTGACCTGTCCCCCGTGCAGGGACATCCTCTGGGCTCTGGGGACGTCACTGTTCCCTTGGAGGGAGCACTGGGAATGGGAGGCAGCCAGCAGCCGGCCAGGGGCACAGGGCGGGCCCGGAGGAAGGGCCCTGGGTAGGGTTCATTTCCTGGCACCCTTGTTTGCCGCGTGCCCCTGGCTTCTGGTGGCTGTTTCCGCCCCGCCCACAGCCTCCCTGGCTGAATGGGCAGCTGGCCTAGGGCTGGAATTCCCCACCATCCTCAGTTTTAGCTCCCTCTCAGCTGGGCCCTCCCCCTGGAGCCCAACAGACCTGGGTGAGAATCCTCTTCCCCACAGCAGCTGTGTGACCTTGGGCATGTCTCTTTGCCAGTCTGGGCCTTTCTTTCCTCTTTAGAAAAGTGGATAATAGACTGACCTCCCAGGCTTGTCGTGAGGAATAAAGGACATCATTTACATAAAAGGCTTGGCACAACGAGACTCTCAGTATAAACCGTTATCCCTTTTCTCTGCCTAGCTCTTCCCATTTTCCTCCTTCAGGAAGGCCACTTTCCTCCTTCCAGGATGTCCACTTTCTCCTGTCTCCCCATGCCCGTGTTGGGTCCCAGTGTGAACCCCGGGGGACACCTGTGGTGGGGGGTGATACGGTGTGATTCCCCAGGTGCTGACACTTCCCCCAGCTCTTGGGTGTCCGTTTCCCTGACATAGACATGCCCATGTCCCACAGTGAATGGGACCGAAGGGGACCCTCAGGGAGCCTCATCAGTTTTTCAATGGACCAGATTCAGTTTGATGCATAACCCTGCCCTCCACTCCAAACAGAGCACTGTAATGGGAGCTGCTGGCACAGTGGAGCAGGGGCAGAGTCTGAGCTTGGTCTTCCCGGAGAACAGGGCTGCGGAGGCTGTCTCTAGCCACTGCCACTGCCCCCCGCCCTCCGATAGAAATAACGTTGATTGAGCCATCGCTACGTGGCAGGCACTGTGCAGCTTCTCCTTTACTCTCCACAGTGACTCTGTGATTAGGGTACAATTAAAAGAAATTTTTAAAAATCCTTATCCGAGGATATGTTCATCGACTCTAGAGAGAGAGGGAGAGAGAGTAAAACATCCATGTGAGAGAGAAGCACCCACTGGTTTCCTCCCATACGTGCCCCAGCTGCAGAGTGAGCCCACAGCCTCGGTCTGTGCCCTGACTGGGAGGCACACCCGCCATCTTGGGGGTATGGGGTGACGCTCCAACCAGGTGAACCACCTGGCCAGGGTTAGGGTACAGTTTTTAACTCACTTTTAAAGATAGAGAAACAGAGGCACCGAGAGCTTAAGCAACTTTGCTTGAGCTAAAAAGTGGCATCTGGTTGAATGGGACAAGTGCTCTACCAGAGGGAGACACGGGGTTATGTTGGAGCAAAAAGCACCTGTTGAGACCCGGACACCTGGGAAGGGGGAAGGGGAGCTGTCGATGGACAGGAAGAAGCTGGGGCGCTGTTTGCAGGCAAAGGCCTTTGCGGGCAAAGGGGCCAGCAGACATTTGGGGGACGATGGCCCACCCCGTGGCTGTAGGGGGAGGATGCAGGTGTGGAGGGCAAGGCCGAAGGTAAGCAGGCAGTCACGGAGGACCTCAAGCCCTGCGCTAAGGAGCTGGCCGAGGCATCCAAGGTTGGGTTTTGGGTGGAGTCAGACCAGAGGCGAGGAGGAGAGCCTCCTGGGGCCAGGCGATGATCGTCTCAGGGAAGAGAGGGGAGGGCCCAGTGTGCAGCCTGGTGCCCGCTGCTCCCTTATACGATCTCAGTTCACCTTCCGACAGTCCCCAGGTTGGGCACCATCATCGCTGTCTTACAAATAAAGAAACTGGGGCTCAGATCTGACCAGAAGTGAGTTAGACTCACTGAGGTGGGGGGACCCCACTGTCTGGAATGGGGTCAGGGCCCAAGACATGCTTGCGCACTGGCACCGGAGGTGGGCGCACAGTGCTATGGGGTCCTCTCAGTGCATCTGCAGCTGCAAAGAGGAGGGTGGGCATGGGGTGAATGAAGGGGAGCCCCTGGGGCTATACCTGGGTCACAAAATAAGCTAGGGCAATAATGGTGCTGGAAGGAAGGAAGGAAAGAAGGAAGGGCAGAGCTGAGGGGCTGGAGCCCAGGTTCAGGTGGTGGGCAGCCCGGGGGAGGTGGGGCCCTGGGGCTGCCTTGGGTGAGCTGGCTGTGGGTCCATCTGGATCTGGAGCCAGGCTGGAGTGTTCTGGTCGACATCAAAGCCAAGGCTGGTGCTCCTGCTGGTGGGTTTGGGGGGCGCCACCTTGGGATCCCTCCAGGGCTCTGCCTCCTTATCTATCGCCACCCTTGTCCTGGGGCCTCAGGCAGTTTACCAGCCACACCTGCACCTCCACCCTGGAGGTCCCAGAGGTCCCAAGACTCTCCACTGTCCTTGATGCTGACCTGTCCCCTGCATCCCACAGCCACCAGTTCCGGCCCCACCCCTCTCCCACATACCTCTCAAGTCCATCTATAGCTCTACAACAGGGCAGACCTTCATCCTTCTCATTTGCATCCCTGGATCAGACTGCAGATGGGTCTCCTGGACTCCAACCAGATGGAGAAAGCTTTTGAACCCACAAAGCCTATCAACTCACTCTTGGGTGTGAACCCATCAGTTCCCTCTGACCCAAGGCCAGCGGGCTGGAGCCCTAACTCCTGGCCCTAGGGCTTTCCCAGGCTGTTCCGCACAGCTGGCTGCGCCGTGGCTGCTGCCCCACTGCCCTGGCATCTCCCTGCCCTCTTGCGCCCTCAGCGTATCTGGCCATCCCCTCTCCCCCCAGAGTCCCCTTCTCAGCAGTGGAGGGGGGCTGCACCCTCATTCTGCCTCACTGCCATGCCTGTCCTGGGCTGCCCAGAGCAGTTCTGCTGCTGAAGGAGTGGCCCGGCACCCCCAGCCCCCGACTCCTTCCCTTGGAGGAACCCCTAATGTACAGGACAAGTTGGGGGAAGGGGACCCACAGAGGGAACAGGACAAGACCCTGGGGGTTTGTTGTGCAGGAAAGTGGAATGTCCTTCATGCCACACCCATCACGCTCCCAGGGAACCGGGCAGGGCCAGAGGCCTGTCTGGACCCCTGCTTGCCCCACCCACCTGCACTAAATCATTCTTTGTCCGGCTCTTCCCTCAGCACCCTTTCCTTCCCTGCCCCTGCCCCCACATGTGCCTGAGTCATTTATACCTCAGGGCCCTGGTTTCTAAGGGTGATGTTGTCATAGGCTCCCCACCCCTGCCAGGTAGGGCTGCCTGCATTTCAGTAGGAACATCCTGGGGAGGAAGCCTTAAACTTTGCAGGGCTGGCCAACCATGAGAATTTCTGTGATCCCCCGCAGGAGAAGGGGTCACTACCGCTGTCCCTGCCGAGATCAAATTCCAGAAGGGTGCTCTGTTTGCTCATCAGACAGTGGAGCTGGTGTCTCCCCATCGGCCCTATAAACTACTCCTCAGCTCACGAGCAGGTTTCAAATAGGTGGTAACTGGCTTTGCTCCCCTTCTGCTGCTGGTCCCTCACAGCAGACATCTGCGATGAAGGGCTAGGGGTGGGGTGGGGGGGCCAGGATGAGGGGCGAGGGTAGAGAGGAAGCTACAACCTGTGTTACTCAGGGCCCTGGCCCGTCCGTCCGGAGTGGGTGTGGAGGAGGAAGTGAGTCAGTGGGCACAGCAATTCATGCCTCAGAACCCTGACTTTCCTTTTCAACCCACTGAGCCAAGACATTTGTCCCAACAGGATCCCATGTGGTGGGGGGATGGGAGCAAGAAGCTATTTACAAGGCAGAGGTGGCCTCCCATTCACCCACTGAGTTCCCTTTCTGAGGCGCATAAAGGCTATGCGGCAGCTGGACACACACTGATTGCAGACCTGCCGTGCAGGAGGGCATGTCACGGCTGCTGGAAATACAGGTGTAATCAATGCTGAGCACAACTACCGGGTCCCAGTTCTCCTTCTCAACATACCTGTAGTTGCCATCTTTAGGTCCAATGTACAGTGAGGAAACTGAGGCTAGGAGAGGTGAAGGGGCTTGTCCAAGGTCGCAGCCCTGCTGGTCTATAATCACACTAAAAGCCCAGGTTACGTGTCAGTGCCAGGCCTGGAATCTTCAAGAGGCACTCCGCGCAAGGGGCGGGGCTGGGGGAGTGCAGGTGAAGTGGGGGCTCAGGAGTGCGGGAGGAATATGAAACCTCATAAAAGTTTTCAAAGAGCAAGTGGATATTTTCCAAGCACACAAGGGGGTAAAGGGCACTCCAGGCAGAGGGACCAGCATGTGCACAGATCATGTGACATGACTGGCCCCGGCGTGTTTGTGGAATCCTGCTGGAGACGAAGTGCCGCTGCAGGAGAGGAGGCTGTGGGACCAGGAGGAGATGCCGAGCCCGTTCTAGACACTCAGCATCTGAGGAGCCTGCGGGTGGCCAGCCAAGTGCTGGTGAGAGCTGAACATCAAGGCTGGAGCCTGGCTCTGGCTCGGTAGCTCAGTTGATTAGATTACTGCCCCGATATGCCAAGGTTACAGGTTCGATTCCTGGTCAGCGTGCATACAAGAATCAACCAATGAATGCATAAATAATTGGAACAACTCAGCTATTGGCTGGCAGGGAAATTTACTGACATTTGGGGCCTGCACACCAGGTCCCTCTGGGAGTCACTGTCAATTTACTCCCAGAGCCCCTCTGTTCTTTCCCTCTCCCACCCTCCACATGCCCTACCACACCTGCACCTGAAGTCCAAGTCAAATCTGACCCGGGGCCTTCTCAAGCACGCTCTCTCCCTCCACCCCTTGCCCACGTTACTACAGCAGCCCCTCCCTGCTGGCTCGGTCTCTCTTAGCACTGCTAACTCCGTGCTGTAGTCACAACGTTCTTTCTAACGCCGCCCATTGCCCCACCAGTACCAGCCCTAAAATACAATGTAACGTGGGTTTAGCCTCTTTAAATCTGAGAGCTTTCAGAACTCGAGGCCAGGATGACACCCCGGCCTCTGGAACGTGCTCTGGTTCATCTCTGACATCCCTGGGGGTCCCCAGCTCCGTGCAGGTAGATGGTAGCTCGTCCTTGAGTGTTTGAGGCTGACAGGTTCTGAGCAGGGAAGTTGCCAGCTCTCAGCACCTGCCCCACCCACCCCAGGCCTGTATCTGGGTCACTGGAAAGAGGAAATCTGATAAACCCATTCAAGCTTCACAGCTCCTCCTTATCGCCTGTTATTTGCATTTTCAATTCAAGTCAGAGATAGAGACCTGAGTCTTAGTTCAATAGAAGTTATTTGGTTCACTTAGTTCAACAAATACTAGGGGACTTGGGGCACAAAGGATACCGTTAGAGAAATAATGAAATAATTTCTCTAGCCCTTTCCTTTCACTGATGAGAAAATCAAGGCCTGGTGCAGGAAGGTAACCTGCCCAAGGTGACAGGGCAGAAGGTAGCCCGCATTCGACCCCCGTGGTGCTGCCGCAACCCCACTCTCTGTTCACTGACTGCCTGTCGGCATCACATCCACGCCCTGGCCTTCCTGTGAGAAGCTAGTGAGCAAGTGGCATGGTCTGGGCTCTGGGAGAGCGAGGTGGGGTGTGTGGGAGAGGCCGGCAGAGGCAGGCTGGTGTGAACACGGCAAACACTGAAGAAACAAAGGTGCTTCTATGGGATTGTGACATCATTGTTGCAACTGGGAACACTTCAGCCCCAACAAGGCCCCAGCTCTTCTGTTTCCTTCTTTCCTGTGGCCCCCTCTTGCTGGTCCTTTCCTTCTCCCTTGTCCAGATACTCCTCCTCCAGGAAGCCTCCCTGACCCCACAGCAGCATCCACAGTTGCACGTTGTTGCGGTCACCTGCAGAGGTAGATAGACCCCATCCAAGATTTGGTTCAATGTCAAGACTGATGATGCCACATACATACCAAGAGTGTGTGACGAGTTTTATTTACATAACTGAGTCTCTGGGGGAGCAGAGCCAGCCTCTCCGGAAGGTCTTAAATGGCTGGAGAGAGCCAAGAAAGGAGATTGGCCCAGGATTTTTACTGTGGTTAGGGAATGAGGTCAGGGTGAGCGTTTGTGTGGGACGGGCTTGCATGGTTCAAACCTCCCATGGATGTCAGAGGAGGGAGCACAGCGCCCAGGCCTCGTCAGCTTTGCCAGGCACAAAGGGGAGAGGGAGAGATGACGGCTTAAAAGCCGCTAGCAGCCAGACATCAAAAATTGGACTGAGACTTCTCGTTACACGTTTTATTCGTGTGCCTTTATTTCTCTCTCTCTCTCTCTCTCTCTCTCTCTCTCTCTCTCTCTCTCTCTCTCTCTGTGTGTGTCTACATTTCTAGGTGAATCCCCTCTCCGTGGGGAAGAGTTGACAGGATGGAGCCACTGAGGAATGAGGCGAGGGATGAGATTCAGGACGTTGCCACTGAAACCAGAGCATTTTAGGTGCTTGGCACGAACTCCCCAGCCCAGAGGCCTTTCCGGTCTTGCAGCCTCCCTCCGTCTCCCTCCGCCATCCCATCTCCATCCGATCTGCTCGATGCTCCCCCACATTCCTCAGCTCCGGCCCTCCCCCTACCAGGCGCCCAAGCTCCGCTCCCACATTCCCTCTGGACACTCCCCTGGAGTGGAAAAACCATCCCTCATCCCTTTCCTGCTCCCGGCCCTGGGATCGGACATGCCGGCCGTTCCCGCTGGACATGGCCAAAGAGATAAGGTTTGGCATGGAGCCCACCGTGTCATCGCAAGGCTCTCAAAGCTGTTTCAGATGGGACCCGGGCCCACACTGAGTGTCCACCCTGGCCGTTCAGTTCCTGGCCCTGGCTGACTCCCTTTCTCCTGGGACAAGGTGGAGGACCCAGCAGCCAGCCAGAAGGAGAACAAATTAATTGTTCAACTTCCAGCCAAGTCGGCTTCCTGTTCCTTGACCCTCAATATCTCCTAACTCCTGGAGGCCCGGCACAGGTGGACCGTGGAGAAAGGCTGGGTGCTTCTGGGGGTCACAGCTTGGGAACACAAGCTCTCTTAAGGGCAGAAAAGGACCTCAAAGTCACCGAGAACAGTGTTAGCTCAGCTGCTTTAGTTTAGGCATATCTGGCTGTCGGATCGACATCTGTCTGGAGTTTGCCTCTTGAAGACACAGCTGTAGGAAGTGGCTTTCCATCCTAACTGCCTCCCATGAGCCTCGTGATCTTGGACATCCAGGTCCCCTCGTAAATCACGTGGAGATGATAATCCTGACTTCACAGGGAGGCCGGGGAGATGAAACGAGAGTCTGCGTGTGAAGTGAGTCATCACGTTGGGCCCCGGCCCTTCCCGAGCTCTGAGTCTAATTTGGTACGCTTAATTCTTTATTCTTTTCTTTAAAGAGGGCTCCAAATTGTACAAGCCCTGAGTATCATACAAAAACGTTAATTATTAGCTTAAGTGGTTGAGAAAAGCTCTGGGGTCAGATGACACGGGATTAAAATCTGGGCCGTGTGACCTTCACCAAGTTGCTTAACCTTCCCGAGCCTCAGTGCGCTCCCCTGACAGCAGAGATAACACCTAATCAGTGGTTGTGAGGATTTTATTTAGTCGTATTTGTAAAGCAGCTGGCATAGTTCCGGCTGCATAAGGACACCACATGTGAGTTTCTTTTTTTATTTTTAAAGTATTTTTTAAAGACTTATTTATTTATTTTCAGAGAGAGAGAGGAAGAGAAACATTGACATGTGAGACAAACATCAGCCAGTTGCCTCTGGCACACTCCCAAATGGGGACGTGGCCCCGAAACCCGCGCCTGTGTCCTGACAGGGAATTGAACCACAGACCCTTCAGTCTGCAGGCCGGCGCTCCATCCACTGAAGCCACACCAGCCAGGGCGGCATTTTTCTTATGATTCCAAACTCTCAGAGAAAGGAATACGAAACAGAATTTGAAGGGAGTGTGGAGGGCTGAACTCCTGGACCAAAATAAGAAAGCTCCTTTAGCGTAGTGAAAAGAATGCTCTCGGGAAATGGGTCTTCGTGTTGTAATAAGGGAAATCTGAGTTAGACGGCATAGTGACCCTTTCAAGTTCCCTTTCAGTTGATTCTTTGCAAATAACCTTTAGGCCCCGCCCACCTAACTCCAACTGGCACCACCCACTACACACCTGTCGGGGCTGGCATCCCCGCCTAATCTCCACTCGCCTAGTCTGAGCCCGGGTGGGAGAGGGCAGCTTTGGAGTTCTGCTGGGCTAGTACCTGGAGGCAAGGGTGCTTGAGAAATGGCTGCAGTCTGGGTCCAGCTCCCTGGCCACGCAGGGCACGCTTAGGAGAAGGGATTCATTTCCACAACGATAGGCTTACAAGGGATGCCAGAAAGCGGGGTCCTTCGGGGGAAACGCTGTCTTGTTGCTAATACTAAGAATGCTTGGTGACTTACTACTGCTAAATATCAGTCTGGCTTTGCTGAGGGACCATTCCCAGCTGGGATCAGGGTGGATGGGGGCGGGTGGGCAAAATAAAAAAAAAATCTCGACAAGGACAGAGAGGGGACTGCGTACCAGAAAGAATGCCCAGAGACCGCCAGCAGCCTCTCAGAAACTCACAGCACCGCAGAGACGAGTCGGACATTCCAGGCAGCGGTGCGCGGAGCTCAGTTCGCCCGCGCTCTCCAGCCAGGCGGGCAGAGGTGGCCGCGCCTGCAACGGCCTTTGCAGCAGCAGTAGCTGCCGCAGCAAACCGTCTGGACGAATACCAATCCCGGCCCCGCCCGTCCAATCTGTCTTGCTCAAAAATGCGACGCTTCTCGGGAGACGCAAGGGGCGGGGAGGGGAAATCCTAGCCTTGGGGGGCCCTGGACAGGTGTTTGGGGGAGAGGGCGGAGCCATTTGGGGGAGGATGAGGAGAGAGGGGCGGTGCTGCCCCTTTAAGAGGCGGTGGCGGAGCCGGGACCTTTTCTCTTTCCCCGGAAGGAGAGCGGAGCCGCGGTTGGGAGCGCAAGGTGGGGAGGTGCGGAGCTGGGCGTGGAAAGGCGGGGCGCGAGCGGGGGCACCCCTCCCTCCCGCCCTCCTTGCGGTCTACCGGTCTGCCTGCCCAGCCAGATCCGCCACCGAGCCAGGATCGAAGGCGACAGTGCAGCCAAGGGGGCGCGGCTGGGACGAGCTGTGAGGCATGGTGTCCGGGGCGGGGGCGCGGTGACCCAACGCGGGGCCGGCGGGCGAATAGATCCGCGGATCTCGGAGGGGAATCTGAGAGCGCAGACCTTGAGCGGACGTGAAGCCGACCAGGGCTGGGAGCCAGAAACTATCAGCGTTACGGGGCTTAACGACGCGGCGGGCCAGACTGTCTTCCAGTGGTGGCGAGAGCAGGTGGACAGGTCCTCAGCCCCGCTCCACGTCCTCACGCTCGCTCGCCCCGGCTCCGCTCCCGCTTGCAGTCATGGGCCCCCGGCCCCGCCGCACCGTCCGTGTCCTGCGGGCGATGTTCTGCGCGCTCGCCTGGATGGTGGCCCCTGGCGGTCACCTCGCCTCCGCCTTCAACCTGGACACCCGATTCCTGGTGGTGAAGGAGGCCGGGAACCCGGGCAGCCTTTTCGGCTACTCGGTCGCCCTCCATCAGCAGACGGAGCAGGAACTGCGCTACCTGTAAGTGAGGCTGGCGGGGGTGGGGAGAGAGAGCGAGAAAGAAAGAGAGCGAGAGAGCGAGAGAGCGAGAGAGAGCGTGAGCTGGGTGCGGATCCGGAGGTGAGTCGCGGGCCGCGGGCTACTGTGCGCGAGGATTAAGGGGGCGGGGACCTGGGCGCCCTCCTGTTGCCGAGGTTTGGCGGGAAGTGGAGTGATTAGGCGTGGGAGGAGGGGGGGTGCAGTAATCATTGGCAAGTGCTGACCCAGCCAGAACCTGCCTAGACTCAGCCCCTCCGGAGAACAGCACTGGGGTCCCGCTTTCCCGAGCCCCCCTTCCTTTCTCTGAATTGAGTACCTCTTCTCTCCAGGGGTGGGAGCTGGGGGAAACTGTAAGATAAACACATAGTAGCTCCCCCTTACTCGTTTCCCGGGAAGAACCTATGGGCGCACGCATTTAAGCTCTCTCCCTTTACACCTCGCATTTAGTCTGCGGCCACGTCAGCCACACCCTTTGTAGAGCCAGACTGGAGGGGTTCTCAGCCCTTGGTGGTTGGAAGGTGAGGTGATGAGTCTGGGTGTTCGGAGCTGTCCAGGGGCTCCCTCTGCTCCCGGAGGCAGGGGAATAGAAGAGACAGGAGGGGCTGTCCCAAATCCTGCTCATCTCCTGCCCCTCCAACCCAGCAGTGACACCCTCGCACCAGATAGCTTTCCTGCATTCCACAGATTCATGTTGGATCTTCAACCCTGAGTGTGTTTGTTTGGTTTCAAGAGGGAAATGGTGTTTTTCTCTCTCTTCTCCTCTCCTTCCCCAACAGCTGCAGAAAGGAGGGGAAGAGCTAGGCACGGGGAGCGAGGGGAAGGTGACTGCATCCAGCTGCTTGCGCCCCCACCCCCCGCCCCGCACTGCCATCATGCACGCTTACGCCCAGAGGGGTATGTCCAGGTGTCAGATGTTTCTCTGCCATAGACTCATGAGATCAGCAGTTCGGGAAAAGGACAGCTGGGGGAGGGGAGGCTGTCCCTGGAGGGAAGGTGGTTAGGACAGGTCAAGCAGGCCCTATCACTTTGAACTGGGTGACCTCCTAGCCATCTGCCCCTAACCGGTGTCTGACTCCCGCTGAGCAAGAGGATACGGTCAGAAAAACAGTGTGTTAAAACCTCTCCCAACTCTGGCCGGGGCCTACAGAAACCTAAGGCTGGAATGCCCAAACTCCAAACTTGGCTCCTTCCCTGCTGGCCCAGCCCTGCCCAGTCTACCTACCTGAACTTGGCCTCCATTCCAGCTAGCTTCTGCAGAGGCTAGGGCCACCACACCCTTCCCAGCCTGGCCCCACGAACTTCGGTCTGGCCTTGACCAATCCTCCATCTTTTGGAGGCTCTAAGTAACCATCAACACAAGTTCCTATATTAGTGCTCTTTCTGCGCCCTTCCAGAAAAAGGTGTTCCATTCGAAGGCAACATCGTGTTAAGAGAAGATCAGGAAAGCAAGAGGAAGGGGGCGGGGATTGGTTTTGCTATGTGACCTTGAGCAAGGTACTTCTCTCCTCTGGGCCAGTTTTCCCCAAAGAGGGGTTGGGCCTGGATCTATACGCTCCTTCCTGCCTCAGTTGCCCTATAAGAGGCAACTTGGCATTGTGGAGAGAGAAGAAGCTTCAGCGTTCCACTGCCGATTGTCACTAATACCTGAGCCTTAGTTTCCTCACGTGCCAGGGCAAGGGGAACAACGCACCTTCTGCATGGGGTGATAGTATGGCTCCAGTGAAATAATGTGTATAAAACGCTCTGCATATGCCAAGGCCCAGCAGAGGGCTCTTGTACCAGAGCCAGGACCTGGATGTACCCTCACTACCCATGGGCCTCGCCCAAGACGGCTGAGCAGAGAAGTCCTGCTTTCCTTCCTGGGCAGTAGAGATGGCACTAGGCCTGATGAGAGCGCAGACGCTCTGAAACTGAGGAACCTCAGAGAGGCAGGCCGTTGTAGACAGACTTCTGGGCCACTCTCCCCGGTCTCCTCCGTCGTTCCCAGGAGCGGTTCTAGACCTTGGCTCATCCCCTCGTCTCACTGAATTCTGCTCTGTGGCCCTTGGCGAGAGCCAACTGGCCCAGCTGGGCCTCGCTGCAGCCAGCTGCATAGCCAGATGTGAACAGCTGCCTGAGCGCACAGCTCAGGGGAACCGGCAACTCAGGTCGCAGTTGGGTACCTCTTAGCCTCAGAGCCCCTTTGGGAAGGAGGGCAAGGATTCATGGCTCTGAACAAACTCTTAGCCCGGGGTTCACAGGAGGTTTTCTGGCCATGTAGGGACCCCTGAAAGCATATGTAAAATCGCGTGTGTCTGTGCATGTTCCAGGGGCGGGAGCAGGGGAGAGCATATCTTTCAACAGGTTCTCAAAGAAGGCCTCATTCCAGAAATGCTTAAAAGCCCAGGTGTGGGCCTCCTTTGTTCTCCATCACCCCCATCTCCGGACTGGGGTTCCCTGCCCGCAACATCAGAGGCTTACCCCACCCCAGGCTACAGTTTCTCTGTCTCTTGATGTCAGGGACAGCGAAAAGGGCAGGGGACTGAGGTGCGCTGGGCTTCTCAGCAACATGCGTGAGGACCTCCCGGGAAGTAGAGGGACTGTCCCCCAGGGAGACGGCTACTGACGGACTCCCACGACCCCAGCACCTGCTCTTTATTCCCTCCCGGGAGTCCAGGTGCCCTGGTGTGGCCTGAGCTTTCAGGCTATAGGAGGAACCTCTGGGGCCCTCTCTCCCTTTCACCCTGGCCTGGCCACGAGGGTTTCTGGGAAGTCTGCGGGGGGGGGGGGGTGGCGGGGGTGGCTGGGGCTCCTGGAAGATGAGGTCATACCCGAGGGAGGCAGGAACAAGGATTACCTGCTGTGCTCTCCTAAAACATGTTTCCCTGGGTGGACTAGCCACCTGGCAGCCTGCAGGGCTCCCGCCTAAGGAGACAGGCAGGGCAGCTGTGGCCGCAGGCAGAAGGCCTGCAATCCCAGTGGCCTTTGCCTCTGACACTCCGCGACGACCAGCCCAGGCCAAGGAGCTTTAAACTGGGCGGGAGGCAGGGGAAGCCTAATCTTGTAGCAAAAGAAAGGGGCTCGGTCAGAGCTGAACAAAGGAGGAGGAGGAGGGCGTCCATTGCAGCAAGAGGAATTGAGGTTAGATGACATGAAGAATGCCCTAAGGGATCAAATATGGAAAAAATACTAAGGAGCAAGGGAGAGGGAGAAGCAAGGAGAAAAACAGCCTTGTTCTCTTTTTATCTGAGGCTTCGGCCAAGGCCTCTTTCTCCTGTTCGCTCTCATTCTATCGCTTTCTCCTGCTTGTTGCTCTGGTTCTAGGGCTGAGTCACTGGAGGGGAGAGGGGGCTGGGTGGGCGGCATGAGAAGTAGGGGGAGGACAGAAAGGGCTGCAGTTTCAGCTACCACAGGAGCGGCCTCTGGGGAGACGTCTAATTTGGGCAGCAGGGTTGGCACAGAGCTGGGATCCAGGCATCTGAGAATGGCCACCACCCCAACCCCTGGGCTCTGAGCTGGGTCAGCCCCTTCCCCAACCTGCTCCCCGTCCTGAGGTGGAAGGGCACCCTGAAGAGTAAGGCATAGGAGGCCCGTTGGCTTGAGTGCTGGACCCTCTGGGCCTCTGCAGGTTAACTGAAATCTTCCCACTGGAGCTACACCAGTGCCCTGCTGAGGTTGGGAGTCTGGGAGGTTCAGTCTTACAGGCTGTTTCTCTGAGCATCACCCCACCCCTGTGCCCCCAAGGAGCCGCCTTCTCTTTAGGGTGCACCAGCCTGCTGCCCTGACCCCCATGGGCCTCGCACCCCAGCCCCTTCCCCTTCTACTGCTTTCTACTTGGCTGTTGCATTAGCCTTGAACTGAGCAATGGGGCCGGGTGAGGAAGTGCTTTTCCAGAACCTGGAGCTCAGTGGGCCCCCCAGAGGCCAGGAGGGACTGTCTGGCTGGAGTCAGAGGAGAGGGTGAAGAGGCAGCTGGCTGTCCGAAAGCCCTTAAGAGGTCATTTTACCCACCCACCTACCTCCCAAAGGGGCTTGCTGCCCACCACCGCAGCTCAGCCTGAGTCCAGGAGAGGTTTGGTCTGATCTTTCTTCCTTGCTCCAAGAGGTGGGCAAAGCCTCCCACCTAGCCTCCTCCCTTCTGACTGCTGCTGGGA